AATTTTAGAAAATCTAAATTATTTTATCTTTTTCTGAAAGTAGAATAGAAAACGAAACTAAAAATCAAGTTCTTTTCAAATAATAGACAACTTGAATAAATTATAATTAATGTTTATAAGAACAATTTTATATTACTATTAAAAGGAATGTTTAGAGCACTGATTACACTTACATTTCCTGGTTAGCGCTTATTTTATGACATGTTGTATTTTCCAAATTTTACTTCCAAAACACAGAAAATACCTTCCAGCCTGTGATGACACCACGTATACGCCAACGAACCTGTACGGTATCGTTTTCAGAATGCATTGTGATTTTTATGATGTCAAGCTTGACGTGTGCAAACTTCATATGACCAATGAACCTTAATAGTATCAATTGCTTCGCATAACTCACAAGTCCCCTGCAATATTTTTAAAGCATATTATGAGAAAATAAAAATACTTAATGCTAAAAACTCTCAATTGCTTTGAATACTTAATAAAATTAATTTTCGTTACTCCTCTAATATTGTTGATAAAAAATATATCATAATGGATAATAGGGACTCAATTTACAAATATTTTAGCATAACTTGCCTACAATACAAATTGCACTACAGAACACTTTTTCGTTCTTTTCAACTTTTAAAATTTACAAGAAAACATATGTATACGTACATACATACATGTGCAATTTTGGATACACCTTCCTTCTTAAAGATCTCTTCGGTATCACCTCCCTGCGGTCAATATATAGCGGCAAAATTTTATACCACATAGTTGAATATAAAATGTTCCTGCATGAGAAAATGAGAGAAAAGGACATTTATAATAGGTAATGACACACGATACGAACCACACAATAGTGTAAATTCGGGATTGGCGGAAGAAAGAGGGGGTAAAGGAGAAGAGATTCTTACAATTAGAGGCACTCTGTAGCAACTCGTATTATCTAGTACAAGAGGACCTCTTGTGCTAGACAATTATGCCTCAACAGTGTCTGACAATGAGAATTATTACATTTTGAAGACGCGAGATTGTACATTCAAAGCATCCAAATTAACGAAAGTAAAGTACAATATAAACATACTTCGGAGAAATCTTTATTACGCGATAGTGCCTGTCACAACGTGCATATAGATACCAGATCACTTTCTCGTTCTCTTAACTTTTACAACTTTTACAAGACAACATATATACGTACGTGTGCGATTTTGGATACACCTTCCTTCTGAAAGATCTCCTCGGCATCAGCTCCCTGCCGTCAATATATATTTCATTATCACTATCATCTATCACGCGGCAATGGTTACGACTCTGTCACTGTCACCATCTTTTTTTTAGGTTACCGCTGTATTCCAACATAGATCGGTCTTTCTTAACAGCTTCATGCGTCTGTGATTGAGAAAGAAATCTGATAAGCTCTGTATACCAGCTCAATATAAGCAACATATACATATACGAATATGTATATATATTTTAGATAAAAACAGTCAGTAAACTTTTATAAAACAATAATCTTTGAAATAATACAAGCGATAATAATTTTTATAATTACCTCTCTATATATCTTAAATGTGCATGAAT